TGTCGATAGTTTATTAGTAGAAATATAATAGAATTTATTTTAAAAAAATCTGATAATAGATTAATCCGTTATCACGCTCTACTAACAAATCCTGTTATATTTCTGCTAGCAAATCGTCGAAAAAACGTATAACTATAAACGAATACTAAAATACGGATGTAATCATAAACCGTGTACATGTACAAAGTAGTAATAAATACAATAGTTTTAATCGTTAATGTTGCATGAAATACGTATTTTTTTCCGACCTTAATTAATCCCTTAATTTTTCATGCTTATTTTTATGTTTTATTATTATATCATGTTTATGTATATTGTATGTCGAACAAAAAATGTTACTCAGAATAATTAAATTTACTCTCATGCGTTTAGTTCTCTTTTTACTCTTGAATTTGATTCAAACTATAAAATTATTTAACAAATTTAATGGATAATGGATTTAGCATTTTATTGTTTTGAATAATAAATAATGCGCAATAGAGAATTGTACCACAGAGAACTTCTAACTACTCCGCTCGTGTTGACAAATATGTAATCGCCGCGAATATTCATATTTTATATTTTTAGTATATTTTTATTTTGTTCGCGTGTACGCGTCAAGTTTTATATTCACCAAAGAGTCGGAAATTTCATGTATTTTTCGCATATTTCATATTCTATTTTACTTGGTAAATTTTGCAATCGCGACGATTACACTAATTTGTGTTTTATCGCATTTTCGATTTTTACGTTTAAATTCTCGTCGATTATGTTCGATCAGTTTTGCGATTTTTGCGATTATATTACGTTTCGCAATTACATTCTTCGGAGAAAATCGTTACGGTAGATTCGCGGAATTATTACGAAAGTAAATATCGGAAAGATATCGTGGAGTAATATTCGCAGCATAATTGCGGAGTAGTCTTCGCAACAAAATTGCGGGGCAATCTTCGCAGCAAAATTGTGGAGCGATCTTCGCAGCAAAATTGCGGAACAGTCGTCGCAAAAGTATTACTGGGTAACTGGGAAGCAATCCCAGTAAGTGCGTAAGAATGTCATGCCACTCTTAATTAAATTCATCCGCGTACGACTTTGATTGATTTCACGATCAGAGCGCGATCGGTCTTCGGTTCGCGATTTTTTTTTGCGTGAGATTCGCGGGTATTTTTTCGAAACGTCAGAATTTATCGAGTCGTGTGTTCTCGCTTCTGACGTCATTAAACAAGGACAGTCCATAGCGACTACTCCGGGACCTTAAAGACATTCGTTAAATGAACTATCTGGATTGCGATTTCGTTTTTCGTTAAACGTAATCGTGGAGACTCCGATTCCGAAATAAACCCGAACTTTTCACTGGTACTGTCGAACGCTGTTAAAACGTGAATATTAATCGCGACGTGAGCGCAGCGAAATTAAGCGAAGTGAAATGCAATCGACGTGGGACGATGCTGGACGGAAGCTGTGGACGCCTACGGAGTTCCGGATGCATAGCGATGCAAGATGGAAGGGCGTCGGTGGACCTGGACAGATTTCGACGCGAAATGGTAAGTGCGAAATTTCAACGCTCACTAAGCGTTATCATTATATGCGCATGCATGTTTTATCGTAAATCGCATTGATTTCCCACGAGATGCGTAAGAATAATTCCACACCATTGTTTAAAACTGCAAACAACCGAGTTGAAATAGAGAGCCAATGAAACGAGAGAACTAACAAATACACATATCAGGAGAGAATTGCATTTATTTACCATATTTCTGATTATTCAAGCTATAGTTAAGCTTTGAAACGATCAATGGAAATCAGCGTGGAAAGCTAACGCTTTCGTGTAAAATTTCGACTTGAGCGTTTGGATAAAATTCAATATCCACGTTACGTGAAAGGGCAAATGTTTTATTATACGCTTATCAAGTTTAACATGTATCGCTTTTTCAATATTATACGGAGATACTATATTACAGGATATTAATATTAATATTAATACGAAAGAACGAAACACGATCGTCTTAACAATCCGTATCAACGTGCGAGCCAAGGGGAAGGGGGTAGCGAAGATAAGATCGATATAAAATGTATAAACGTTTCTCCCCCGGTTTATAAGGTACGCCGGACAATTTGGCGGCGCGAACTCCTCCCTAAGTGCGATATATAAAGCTCTCGATAGTAATATTCACGCCGTGAATTTCCGCCGCGTTCGAAATTTGTTTGTTCGATCGTTCCCCCGCGGGAGATGTTATAGCGTGTAAACGAGCTTGTTCGGCAAGTTCGTTGCCGCCCGCGCTGCCGTGTGGTGCACGTGTTTTCATTTCGCGTATCGTATAGCCGGGGCCGCCTCCTCGTATCATTACTGTTTCAATACGCGCGGGAGGAAGAAGCGAGAACTTCTCAAGTTCCCGTCGCGTACCCGAGAACGAACATTTCGCAGTCTCTCCGACTCCTTTCCCGCCGCTATATCGCGACAATAGGCGGAGATTGTCGGCAAAGGTAACATATCGTAGCCCGCAGGAGCGAGCCGTACTTCACGCGGCCGATCCGAAACTTGAAACAAGTCCGTCAAAGAGAGAGATATATATACGCTTTCTCGTTCCGATTCGCATCGCTAGGCATCTATTTTACATTTTACACTTATCCGCTTGTTTAACCGGTCGATTTGCGCCGTAGATGCTCCCCGGCCGAAGTCTCCGGGAATCTCCCGGGCGAATGAATACGCAAATACGGCAGGGTCTCGGCGTTTCAACGGCCGGGTTTTTAAACAAAGGCCCAAACTTTGGAAATATGGATTACATGACATGTTTAACGCGCCGTAAATACGGGTTTAGCGAGTTTTAACCCCGAAACAGTACGAGGCGCGCGACAACTCGATTTTGCCCAGGCTTGATTGTTTCGTCAGCCAAGCGCAATTTACATATCCGTGTAATGGCATGTCAAACGTTTTAATTAAAAGCCAAAGGCACGTCGCGCGGGAGACGCGGGGGAAAATAAAATTTGGACTCGTGGCATTCGTTTTTTACAAGTCGGCGTCGCTGGGAAAATAGTTTATTCGGCGCGCGTTTCTCGTGTGTGTACAAATGGTATATCTGCGTATGCGCACAGGTATTTACACAGGAATCTGAGCGAGGATCCGGAGATATCTTCACCCGCGCATCCGAGGGGATAACTTTCGATTCCGGTATGCCGCTCTCTAATCGTCGAGCCGCGGGAGCTGCGCAAAAACTGGAACGCCCCGGTGTTATTAATAATATCGCCGTGGGCGGAAAATTAAGTGCTGCATCGCGATCTACAACTTATATACGGCGTGTTTTAATTGCGTAATTGACAAACCTTGTAAAAGTGAAATCCTGGAATCCCCTCGAAACTTGGAAATATCCTCGAGAGCGCAAAGGTACATTGCTTGCGCCACGTAGCTGCTCTTGTATCTTCGAGAAATTCCTGGCTGGCTCATTTTAATAAATATATATATATATATATATATATATATATATATGTACGTACACTCGCGTGTGTACGTGAATTTCTCATCATGCGACCTCTTTGGAAATTATACGGCGGGTTAACATTGTTTGGTCCCTGGCACATGTTCACTTTCATAATTATCATAGCGGGAGTCTGCCTCTCGGCTCGATATATTTCCTACGATGGGATACTTGCGGGTGTGTGGGTATGAGATCGAATAATATCTGCGGTAAAACAACCCGTAATACCACCAGCACCGTGTGTGAATCGATTTGTAACGATGTTACGAACTTTTTAGCGTGATTTTATATACTCGGTATTACCCTCGTAAAAGTCCGAGCTGCTTTTTACGGCAAGCGGCATGCGGCCATATCGCCAAAAACTAATCTATGCGACGCTAATCCGTGTTTCGAAGTTTCGGAAAAAAACGTAAGCCGACCCTTTGGGCGCGCGTAAAAAGGTATTGTCGATTAATTTCACGCTTTAAACGTTGCACCCTTTGCAAAGTCGTAATAGAAAACCGACTATAAAAGCCAACTACAATTATCGAGTAACGATCGCGCAGGAAATCCCGTTAATTTCAATTCACACCTGAAATCTCATCCGCGGTGTGTAGTCGGAGATTCTCTGGTTTGGAGACCTATACAATTTTTGCACGATAATATTACGAAAGCGCGAGAACTTTCTCACACAGTACTTCGGAGAAATATCGTGACAATTCGAACACCCGAGTAATATCGCCTTAACTATAGCGTTTGTCGTTAACTTTCGCAACGATGTCGTTTGACGTATCCCATTGCTACATTCCGAGTATCTTAATAAGAAGACTTGCGCGCTACGTGTAATGTTCAAGACTACCGTTCGTATTCTGATCGCACATTCAGCGCTAAATACAGTCGTTTCCTGCTTAACTTCGAAATAAATAAAATAACATCGTGTAAATAGAAAATAAAATAACATCGTGTAAATAGAATCTAGAATCGGACGAACGAATTTGATCTGAAACACACTGTTGAAATATGAATCGTTATCTGACAGAAAGTTTCATTTCGCTATTAATAATTTTGGAGTCATATAATTATAGGACTTGATTTGATAATTATAGGACTTGATCGTGAATTATACATAATGAAGAACTTGGTGTTATACTCAAGGTATTTTACATGTTTCAGACGGCCTATTCAAATTTTTGTATTAATTTAACACAAAATCAATACGTTATTCGGCATTATAAAATGTGTGAAGAATTTAACGGATAAATTTTAACAAAGATTTTAACGAAACGTTTCTTATCTTTCTGTACCCACGGTAATGTTATAAACAGAATATTTACGAAATTGCTCCGGGCAAATTGGGAATTCTCGAAATTGGACTTGAAATACGCGGTTTTCAAAATAAATCCCGACTCGGCCGGGCGTGAAATCGCTTTGTGCTCGATCATTCAGGTGCACGGTGTTTCATGGCGTCGGTGTCGACGTCGGCGTGCCAACGTCAACGTGATCGGTGCACACGCAGAGGAGGAAGAGGAAGGTGAAGGAGGTCGCAGCGCGAAATGTCATAAAGTCATATTAAGGACTGTCCGGCGCATTCTCCCGCCAGGCCAATATCGTGTTCATGTCGGTAATGCCGCGCGTGCTCCATGGCTCGAGCGGATCCGAGGGCGACGTCGGCGGTGAAGAAGAAGCCGCCTTATTCCGCTCAATCGATTCCTTTCTTCTCGCCGGCTCCTCTATTTCCTTAGGCGATACCCTGCGTATGCATCGTAAAAAACCAGGCCGATTAGGGAAGCGGTCAATCAGCCGCCGATAAATCGTTCTATTCCGAGGTGTCTCGGAACTACCACGGTGTTCCTTTAACTGTAGATCCGTTCGGTCGATTTGCGACTTTTCCGCGGGCGAAAATGTCGAGTGGAGCCTTCGGTCACACCTTTTTAATCTTTAATCACTGCGCGTGCCTTTGTAACCGAACCTCAAATTGAAACTCCATATAAAAGCCGGGAATTCAACGAGAAGTGTAACTGTGGTGCCTATTTTTGCGGTGGCGAACTCGCGGTGAAAAGAATATTCTACCTTTGGACATTGCAATGAGTGGTTATAATAAGCAGCGACTCCAAAAATATAAAAGTGTCATGTTTTTTTATGGAAATTTGTCTTTTAGAACTAAATGTGCCCCTGAACGGGTTCATAGGGTTAAGTTAGATCAACTTATGTGAGATTACATTGATCGTGTGAGTCGTTTTATATTTAGAAACTCCAAATATCACGTTTCTCCTATATGATCGCGGTATCGCTTCTGTGCTTGAGAAATAAGATCTTTCGAATTTATATACGGTATTCTGCGCGAGATTCACAGAAAATGTAGACATATACGTTTAAATCCGTCCAGTGGACGAGTTCGACCGCGCGGACTCATGGCCGCTCTTTTCAAAAACGCCGACTGAATCTAATTATTTAAGCTCGTTTTTTTCGACATCGTGAATTTTTTACAACGTTGATTTTTACTGTTAGAAAGAGGACAATTTTAGTTTTACTTTTCAAACCAGAGAAACCGCGAATTTTCAAGTATAAATACTCTCGTAATTTTCTATGAAATGAGAGTGATTTAATGTACGAGCAACTATCTTCGTCGTCCGACTTTACTATTTTTCTAGTATGTGATTTATCGCGGAATTATCGGGAAATGTCGCGATTCGTCGACTGTAATCCGTTACACGCGGTTACCTGTTCTTGGCCGTTTTCGGTCGACGTTTCTGGACTTTATTCGGCGGCTTGGAAACGCCACCGTTCTGCTTGACCTCCGACTTAATTGTTTCGACGGAAGTTCTTCGTCCTTCGGTCTCGACATGGTTCGTCAGGCTCTCTTCCGGATCATTCAGCAGCGGTCGATACCGCTGTTGATTCTGATCGTTGGAAGTGACGGACGAGGAACTATCGTCTTCGTCGTCACAGTGTGATCGCTTCGACGCGCTGACGAATCTGTTATTCGCCGACTTTATTCTCCGAATGCGAGCCTCGGTGCCGAGCAAAGTATCCCCTGCAAACGATTACGTAATATCCTCTGACTTTAAATTTATGAGACCATCGTAACAATCACGAGGTAATCCTCGTGTGATTGTTATTGCTGAATCATTGTGGAAATTACGGAAATATGGTTACGTCGATAAAAATTCGGCTGTAAAAACAGAAAGATTCCTATGAGGCTTCTATTCGGTCAATTGTTTTTAGTTTCAACCGAATTTTAATGCAGCTAAATGTTCAAAATATTCTCGGTCGCAGTAACAGAGATATCATTTCTCGTCGCCGAGTTTTCATCTGGTTCATATTCAGTTGCAGGGACTGAAATTTTTTTGTATACTTTCTGTGTGTATATATATATATATCTAACAAGCACGCTTGTTTAAACATATAATCGTTGCTGAAGCAACCGTTTAAATATTCAACAAACCAACAGAGTAAAAAACATTTTATACTTGCGTTAAAATCGGTCCTTATTAAAATTTCTGTGTTAACATACTCGCGTATTAACACACCCGTGTGTAATTAATCTAACATATTGTATTTATCTTACATCAACATTTTGTGTTGTGACGATAATCAATATGTATAAATGTTAAAATAACACATTTTATACTTCATTATCGATTAGCGTATTAATTTTCTGTCAATTTTTTACACAATGTTTATGTTATTTTACAACATACTCACCTTGTGTTAAATTAAATTAACAGAAAAATGTTGAGCAAGCCGTTTGAGACATGTGAAATGTATATTAAATTTAACGCGAAATTTTTTATTGTAAAAGAGCAAAATCGTTGATACATCAATTTAAATATCGACGATTTACTTACCACCGAGATCGTTGTCGCTGGACTCGACGAAGTATTGTTTCTTAACGATGGCTGGTTTCTCAATGACCGACGGCGGGGCGATCATAGCGAAGTGTGCTAGAATTTGTGGGTCGACCGTCGTGGCTATCATTGAAGCCTCGCTATTAGCCAAGGCGGACTTGGCCATTTTCAATAAAGTATCGTAATCTTCCGTAGTCTCGGAGGCGATAGCGAGCTCCAGAAACGGATCCTCGACAACTTCCTCCTGCGCTTTCGTTTCTACATTTAACATGTTAATTAATTTCATCGTTCGATCACCCTCGCCACTTGCATTAATTCATTCAACCATTATATGATTACTCTCGCGATTCGAAATTGCCGGGAATTACTCCCAAGAACAAACGTTAATCGCAAATCTCTCTCGAGGACTCTTGCACCTAGGCAACTCTACTCACGATTCGCGTTCTTCAAGTTCTCTTCCACGCGCACGGGATCGATGGATTTATCAATTAGATCCGTGAAACCTGATAACTTAGTTTCCTCCACGACGGCTTGTTTATGCGGCTGAATACTCGTCACCGCCTCCGGATTATTCTGGGTCGTTCTCGTCTGCTCCCTGGAAACGGCTTTCGGCTCTGCCGTTTTCGTCTGCTTCGCCTCGATATTGGTCGGTATGCTCTCCGTCGCGGTGGATAAGTCAAAATCATGTGCAAAGGCCATTACGTCCAAAGCTGCGGTTAGCGCATCACCAAAACCTGCAGTAACTGCCGACACTTGCGGCTGGCCAGCATTGGGACTGTAATACACGTGAAATTATTACGCGGCAGCAATGTTTCGCGAGCCGGATTGATGCGTCGCGCAAAATCTCCCGTCGTCGCGCATTGCTCCATCGAGGAGAATCGATCCTAAGATCATATTACGATGAATATAATATTTGTTTCTCAAATAAGTAATTAAATACAGCCAGAGAGAGAGAGAGAGAGAGAGAGAGAAAATCTATGCAGGCAGAATTCTCTCGTATTATGTAAATCACGCGATGATATTATATACGAGGAAGAATAATGTGTGTGTGTGACCCAAATCATTTATTAAAATATCGAGAATTAATTAAAACGCGTAATTAAAATCGGATTCACAGTGAGCAGGAACGCGTTTCAAAGCGGCCGCTTTACAAACGCGTCAGCAGTTAAACAGGATGTTGAGTGATTGAATTGCTTCTGGAAAATAAGTAATTCTTCGTTAAATCGCACGGTCGGTTCATCTTACATCCTACTGCGTTATGTAACGCGCGCGGAGCTTCATAAATATTTAATTACTACTGAGATACGGTCACGCTCGCGCCTTCCGTATGCGCTCGTCACGTGGAGGCGCATAGCTGATTCACGAAGGACTCCGACGCTTTTTCCAGACGCGAAGTTACGTCCGGTTTGCAGATGGCAGGCTCGGCGGAGTTACGAGGTGATAAAAAGTATCGTCCGAGTCCACTGTCTCTGCGACAATGAGTCACTCGCGCAAGGACATTCGTAAATCTATGCCGCCGCCGCGTTACGAACGGTCGCGAACGTGTCAGCGACTAATTGAGATAGATTTCCTCGTTCTCTCGTTCTCGCGCGTATTTGAAATAATTAGACCGTAACATAACAGCGGCACACGCAGGCCAATTCCAAAATTTGCGTGTTACTTTGCGTCCACTGGAAATTGGAATTCTATGCGGCGGGTAAAGCGAAATAATCGAAATCGGAACTAACCACGGTAACGGTAATTGTAACAATAAATTTGCGGAACGCGATAATCGTGACATCGTCTTAACGTGATAGCGCACAGGTATGACATTGTGATTCGATACGATGGTAATTTACGCGTTAAAAAGTAAGGCGTGCGCGCGGCGAATGCGCCGCAAATATTTCGGAATGATACCGCGCGGGAGGGGTGTAATGAAACAACGGGCGGCTTCGGAGAGATACGATATGATGCGCGCGATGAAAGTATCATTACCTGACTCGTACAGGAGTGGAGAAGGACGCGCGGCCCCACATTATACGCCGTAGTTCCTCGCCGGTCATACCCCGTTTCCTCAACTCGTTTATCGTGACTTTTCCGACTCGCTGCAAAGGTGTGATACACCAGAAGAGATGCGATAAAATTATAATGACCTGTCGCGCGTGTCAATGAGGCCTCGCTCGTATTACGGCACTTTTACACAGGCGAAAGTGGTAATGCGAGGGATGCTTTTAGCGCCTATTACTTAACAAATGATATCCGGCCCGTTTAAATGGCGTTAGTTGGCCTTTAAAGTAGCATCTGCGAGAAAGTTTCCTTTCTGTCGGTTGAGTNCCCCCCCCCCTCCTGTGGATAACTCATTTTCGCGGAAAAGGTTCGTGGTTTCGCGTATTATCAAATCCATTTGTTTGTTAAGCAATTTTCAAAGTAAACGTTTTGCGTGATCGCGCCACTCTGACGAGAGAGAGTGTGTGAGAGAGAGAGAGAGAGAGAGAGAGATACTACACCGTAGCAAAATTCGATGGGCGCATTTTTACGGAGAGTCGATACCAGAGCTCTCGTATCAGTCTCTCGAATGGGATACCGATAAATAAATTCTGACGCTTGATGCGCGCACACACGGCTGCGAAATAAATCTTTGGATACGCATCGCCCATTGGGGGGAACGCGCGGTATATATACACGCACAGGTGGAAAATAAATAAATGAATAAACGTAAGTAAATAAATCACCTTCCAATTAGCTACGGCGCCCTTGCGCTGCTTCGCTCTGGTTTTCGATTTGCTTTTAATAACCAGCACGCCTCTCTGCTCCGACGCGGGATTATTCGGGTCGTCGCCGGGTCCCAGCTTGATGCTGTATTCCTGCAGATAATTGTGGGCATCTTTCTGCGACACGGCGCGTTCCAAAGATACCACGATTTTAGCCCACTTAGTGAAAAAAATTGTTAAGCAGATTTAGGTAAACGAGGTATTGCAGTCTATTGCGCAGGGTGTCCCGAACGAATCTTGGTTCCCGTGCAAGAAGAACGGGTGAAACTGAGCTGAAAACGTCCTATACCATTTTGCAAATAACACGCAAATTTTCGAGTTATTAATTAAAGAAGCCTCTATATGTGGGCATTTTCAATCATTGATAATTCGAAATTTTGCGTGCTATTTGCAAAATACAGGACTTATCCGCCCAGTTTCATCCGTTTTACTTGCACACCACGGGAATCAAGATTTATTTGGAGCACCCTGTACATATTCGCTCGAATTAAATTAACGACGACTATTTATGTGATTCGCTAAATCCATACGATGCAGTTAAATGGGTTATCGTTGAACTTTTGGAATTGTTCACAGTATGCAGAAAAAATTGCTAGATTCAAGTGAATAATCACTCCGATGCTCCTGCATCGATTCTGATTCAATTTCATCCGCAGCAAGCTAATATTTTAACACCGACCTGCTTCACGAATTCCTTCTCGCTCTGTTCGATGACGTGCGCATACGTATTACCCATCATGGCGATCAACATGTTGAGCAGCAATATCGGCACGAGCACCATGAAGATCGCGAAGACCGTCTTGCTCAAGTTGGGATAGGTCGTGTTACTCAGGTCCGCGTACTGCAATGCATATGGATAAGTCGCGATGCGATGAGATATATAAATGCAACGTCCGCGGTGAATCGCCGGCGAATGACAGCCGGACAATTATACGCGGGTGCTAATAAACAAGCGGCGGTGCCCGATGTGGCGTACGCCGCCGGCGGAAACACGTAGAATTTTCGGAACGGAAACTCGTATTTTCCATGCCGGTCGCTACCGCCCCTCCTTTTAATTCAGTGCAACGAGTTAATCGTTATACGAACTGCGAAACCGAGCAATGATTTTTACTGGACAACCGGTATTTTATGCACCCGCTGTCCGTCCATGCAGACGCGTGCGGCGTGCTAAATCTTTAATTTCGTCAGGAAACCATATTGTAGTGTGTTTTGTGCGACGCGGAATTGTTCGTGATTGAAATTCAAGATTCATGACCAGCCGTGTGTCCCGTGCGCGCGCGAGTGTCGCTATGCGCGCGTCGCACTGACCGGAAAAAATGTTTAGAATTACGCGAACGCGACGTTTAATCGCGATTATGACGTGTAACAATTAAACTAATGCCTCGGGCATGAAATATTCAAGTCCGATCTAGACGTGCGTCTCAACGTGCGCGTTTTTTCTTTTTTATAAATATTTCGTTTAGAACGGGGACTTCGATCGCGCGCACTTTCGCGCGTCGAATTTTTGCACGAGTAAAAAAGCAAGAGAACCGCTCTTTTATACTGTCTATAGAAATTTAATAAAGTATAATATAAAATATAATAAAATATACGATACTCTTGTGTAGGGGAGATCGAAGTTAATTGGCTGCAAAGGTAAACTGACACATCACTTATATTTCGGCTATTTTCTAATAAATTGCAAAATCAAGCAAATGGGGAGTGCAAAACTATCTGTGATATACATGACGTAAATTGCATTTCATTATGTGAATATTTCTTTCTGTTGTCGAAGAATTGTATTTTTGAATTATATTAAAAATTAGGCACAATATGCTGTGTAAAAAAAAAACAAAAAATAAAATATAAAAAATGTGCTAAATAGCCCCTTTATATATGTATACAAGACAAATAAATTTTAAAAAATGATAAATGAATAATGATAAAAATAGAAATGTAAAATAATAAATGATAATGATGATAATGATGATAATGATGATAAACGATATCATTTATTCAAACTTCCGTGTCAGAGAGATCTCCAAATTGTATAACGTGCAATTACACGACAATTGCTGGATAAATACGGCGAATGAAACGTTACGTTTGTATTAACACGCGGGATGAAATGTCTCTGTCTTCCTGAATCGAGAGAATTTTGCGCTACGGTGCATAGCGGATGCAGAAAGGGAGAGGCGGAAGAGAAAGAAAGAAAGAGAGAGAGAGAGAGAGAGAGAAAGGAGGGTTCGTGTGCGTGCAGACGCGTGCAAGATAAGGCTCCACGTAGTAGAAACTGTCGCAATAAAGCGGTAATCTATAGGTGAGCTCACGTTATAATCGCCCAGGGTTATCTGAAACAGCGCCATCCAGGTCGAATGATAGGAATGGTAAAGGGTCGACTTCACGCCTGGGAATCCCTTGTAGAGGAAATAAAACGATTGGGAAAATCCGAAGAGCACGACCATGTAGATGATGCCGAAGGTCAGCATGTCGCCCGTTATCATGCAGTACACCATAGTGACGAACGGACCGGTCAGCCGAATAGCTCTGTGAAAAAGGAAGCGCAAACGTTAAATGTAATCGGACGAACGCTCGAAAGGACGAAGCATTTTGCGAAAGCGCGCGCGGGTAGTTTTATAATTAGCAGGTAATACCTTTGCCGCGTGTGGGGAACGGGGGGGGGGG